ATAATAAATAACATTATTTTTCTGCTGTTGGTTCCCTACTTTTCCCCTCTGTTTAATTACTTGCCCTGCTTGGTGCTTTCTATTTTGTTGTTCTTGGAATTGTGATCATTTACATCTCTTTCTAGAATAACTTTCAGTACTTTTGGTAGGGTTACTTTGGTGGTCATGAATTTCTTTAGTTGTTCTTTTTCATGGAAGTATCTTATTTCATTAATTTTTGAAAAACAGTTTTGCAGATTACACCAATCTGAGTTGGAAGTTGTTTTCTTTCATGACCTAAAATACTTCACCCCAAGCTCATTTGACTTGATGGTTCATGCTGAGAAATGTGTCATGCTTCTGATCAGTTTTCCTTCAAAGGGGATCTGTTTTTTTTTTCTTTTTCCTAACAGCTTTTAATATTCTATTCTTTTGTTAAATTTCTGAGATCTTGATTATTATGTATCTGTGTGTAGGTTTATTTTGGTTATGGCTAATTGGAGTTTTATATGCCTCACTTATAAAACTCCAATGTATCTCAGACTATTTTCTCATGTTTGAAAAATTTTCTGATACTACGTCTGCAAATAATTTTTTTTGAATTTATTTTTTGTAATGTATTTTTTTAGTGTAGGGTCTACAGGGTCTCACTACACAGATGGAGCTAATAGTGATCCTCTTGTTTCCAGCCTCCCAAGTGCTGGTATTACAGACATACACCACCACATCCAGTCTCAATTGCCCTCTCAGCATGCCCTGGGGGTGGGACCAGTAAGGCAGGCTGGAAATCGAACCCCTGACCTGTGTCTGCCTAAGCAGGTGCTTTAATCCATTGAGCTATCTGGCCAGCCCTGCAAATAATCTTTTCATGTCATTCACGTTTGCACCTGCTTTTCTGTTGTCACTTATCAGTCTCATATTGTTTTGCTTTGCATCATTTTGCAGCTATTGAATTATTTATTTTCTATGTATTTAGTACAGGGTTTATAGGGTCTCAATACATAGATAGGACTCGTACTGATCCTCCTGTTTTCAGCCTCTCAAGCATTGGGATTATGGGCGGGTGCCATCATTCCCAGTCTCAATCACTGTCTCAGTGTGCCCCAGGGGTGGGGCCAACACAGCTTGTGGTGCCGGGGATAGAGTTCCTGCGCTCTGCCTAAGCAGGCACTTTAGTTCACTGAGCTATCTGGCAGGCCATTGAATTGTTGTTTTTAAGACATCTTTCCTTTCATAATCCCTAGCTACAGTGTTGTATTCAAGGTCTGAAAGTCTATCTTCAGTTTTGTTTAAGCAGTTTTGCCAGTTTTTACTAGAATTTTTAATTTCCTGGATATTTCTTTTGAATCTGCTTTATGTATTTGAATTTTTCCTATATTGTTTCCAACATTTTGCTATCCTCCTCTATTTTTTTATCTCTTTTCTTTAGATATGCTGAGCAATTCTTTTATTATGGTTGTATTTCTTTTTTTAACCTGGAGGATTCCTTCTGATCCAATTTTTTATATAGCCTGATGAAGCTGTTTCTTTACTTCAGTTGCCATCTTTTCAGAGATTTATTCACTTCTATAATTTCGTGCTCTGAGAAGTGTGTATTCATCTCAGATGCCCATTTCTGGGTTGGGTCTTTAGATTTTGGGGCCCTAATGTTTTATACTTCTTTATAAATTCTAGAGAGCAGACTTGTCTGAGTGCTTATTAGTCAAGATTTTTTTCCAAATTTGTGGGTTTTTTCACTCTGTTGGTAATTTCTTTTGATGTGCAAAAACTTCTCAATAAGAGGAGGTCCCAGTTGTTAATTCTTTCAAGTATTACCCGTGTGATTTGATTTTTGTTCATGAACTCTTTGCCTACCCCTATGTCTTCAAGAGTTCCTCCTACTTTCTCTTCCAGGAGAATTAGTGTTTCTCTTTTAATGTTTAGATCTTTGATCCATTTTTACTTTAGCTTATTGCATGGTGATAGACCTGAGTCAAGTTTTAATTTTCAGTATGTAGAGAGCCTGTTTTTCCAGCACCAGTTGTTAAAAAGGCTCTCTTTCTTTCTAAGCATGTTTGGACCCTTTGTCAAAGATACGGTGGCTGAGTGTATTTGTAGTGGCTTCTGCATCTTCTAATCTATTCCTATAATGGTAAATTTTGTCATAATAAGATAGTAAAAAGTGCTTCGTGAAAAATTCAGGATATTATTTTTGAGGATATATAAATATTACTTATTGCCTTATACACAGCAGATCTCATTGCTGCTTCTTCTTTTTGAGACTGGGACTATGTAGCTCAGTCTGGCTTTGAACTCAGTATGTAACTCAGGTCTTATTGGTTTTTTTTTTTTATGTATTTTAGGGAAGAGTCTACAGGGTGTTCAGCGTTTTACTACTAGATTGGACTCATAGTGATTCTCCTGTTAACAACCTCCCAAGAGCTGGGATTACAGGCACACACCACCATGCCCAGTCTCAATTGCTGTCTCAGCATTCCAGGGGCCAGGCCAGGACACAACAGGCCTGGGGATTGAACCTCCAACCCCTGTGGCTGCTTGCAGGAGCTTTAATCCGCTGAGCTATTTGGCTGGCCCTTCATTGCTTTTTAAAAGAACCTGTGATTAGAAGAAATGTTGCCCTTTTTGGGTGAATAGCAAATAGTCATTAAAATCTATGTTCATATTGATTTTAAGCCAAATAGTTCTGTGGTTTGAGTTACCAATTTTAAAATCAGTGAAGTTTCACATGCTATGAGACCCAATGTGAATTTCTTTTTTAATTTTTAAATTATTTTGGTACAAGGGCTCAAACTCAAGACCTTGCATTTGCCAGGCAGGCACTTCTACTATTGAATTTGAAGATACAGGGAGTAAAGGGAGTAGTATGGTTTTAGAGTTAAATGAAATTAAGTGGATTTAAATTCCAATTTTTAAAATTTCAGATGTGTAAGTTCAGCCAAGTCCTCTCAAATTCCACTTTCTTCACCATTAAAGACAGGATACTAACTAATTTAAGGTGAGATAGGAATTGAGTTAATACATATATAAAAAGTACTCAGTAAATGGGCTCAGGATATGGTGCATGTTATATACAATAGCTATTTCTAAGAGAAGTAGTTTTCTTACCACAACCCAATACTCACATTCAGTGGAAAGGAAGCCTTCTCACCTTGTCTTCACCAGATGCGAGTTGGGAGCATGTGTTCCAGCAGTCTGAAGTCTTTCCTGGATGATTCTGAAGGAATCGGTTTAAGTGGTCACTTCCCTATTCCACTGTCCCTCAGATCTCCTCCAAGCTTTCTGCAACCCCTCAGAGGTAGGCGACGGACAGATACAGCTTTCTGCAAAAACTGTTGTAGGCTCAGTGTGCATCTCCTTCTTAAACTTATCAACAGCAAGGATATATATTTAACAAGAGAGAAGGTTGATTGCCTACCTGTAGTTTATGAATATAGCAAGAAGGGAGAAACAAAGAAACAAAAGAATTAAAATAGATCTTGTTTGTTTTACCATGCTTGAAATTACTGATCTCAGATCGGCCCAAAGATACAAACGGTTGGGAAATGTAGGGCACAGTACCTCTGATATCCTGACGACGGATAAAGAAATCGACGTAAGGACTCAGAGGAAATCATGAGTCTTGCAAAACAAAAGACAAAGGATGTAGACAGGATCATAATTCAAATGGAAACCTGCTTGATATCCCCAAGTCAGCATAGGGCTTTCCAAGTCTCTTTGACATCAGTCAGCTGGATGTCAGCTCTGTCCATAAGGCGGTTTGCTAAGGGGTGTGAAGAAAACACTAAAGTCTAAGACCTATTCCCTGATCCTCAAGGAGCTTACAACAGCGCTGGAGAGATTAGCCATGTAACTAACACTCCAGGGCGGTCAATGAAACGTGACAAATGAGTTGGCAGAGGCCTTGAAGGAGCAGGAATTCGCAGTCAAGGATCACTGAGGGCTGGGGGCTTGTCAAGGAGGGCTTTCAAAGGTGGAACGGAGGCTAAGCGCTAGGCGCGGGGCGGGGTCTCAGGCAGGGAGAACTCCGCGTCTCCCTCCAGGACGCAGGCAAAGCCAGCAGTACAGGCGCCGGTCCCGGGACGTCTCGCCCTCCGCCAGGGCTCATGCGCAAATCAGGCTCCCGCCCGCGCGCAGCCCGCGGGATTCCCGCCAGGACTCGAGCGCGAGCCCGCGCGCCGAGGCGGGAAGGACTGGCGCATGCGCAGCCGCGCTCCCGCTCGCCGGCGGGAAGCGGAGGTGGAGTTTCTGAGGGGGAGCGTGGCCGTTAGCGGCCTCGCCTGGCCTCTGCTCGGTGGGCCATGGCAGCGCGCTCGCCGCCCTCACCTCTCCCTTCGCCCCCCGCGCGGCAGTTGGGCCCCCGGTCCCCACGCGTCGCGGAGCGCAGCGAGGTCTCGAGTCCCGCCGGCGCGGCGTGGG